ACAAGTGTCTGCCATTAATGATTGATTGTTTAACTACGTATCTCGTTAAGAAAAAGGCATGCCATAGTTTTCGTTTTCCGTGTTGTTTTCGTTGTCAATAGAAACAAATATATAAAGCCATTTCACGTATTTTGCAACTGAAAGTTGCCAAATGCATCTTGAGTTTTGCCCTGGTTGTACTTCCGCGAAAAACAACTCGAGAAATTGTGAGCGAATGTGAATGAGATGTGATATTTTGGAATCGTAACTAAAGTTTGTCGACACATTCCAGTTTTGGTTAAAATTCGACATCAGTAACGGACAACTTTGCGTGAATACTGGTAGGCGTTTCCGCGAATGGATGTGATTTAGGTAAGGGAATCCGCAGACTAACTTCGTTGCCATGGTTACTTGGTTATCTTGGTTACTATAGTAGCCATGAGGATTCCCCAGCGACGCGATAACCTTGACATCGCTACCGTCATTATGAAAAATCAGATTCTGGCGAATGCAACGGAATGGTTACGCTATGCACACATTTCCTAAGTTGTTAAGAATTTGGAACTAAATAGTGTGATTATTCTCCACGTAACTTACTGTGGAGATATTCGCAACCAAAAGAAGGCGTTTGTTGCTTTTTTACAAATGTAGCATGAAAATTGGATTTTTCTCGCTAGGCCCATCAGGCGGGTAATAAAAGTGACTGACCACGTGTTTCGTAGATTAAATTTTCGCTTAATGTGTATGTACGTTGTGCAACACAGGATCTACGTCGTGGGCGACTTCTGAATTACAATTTAAGGAAAATAAATTTCAAGGCCCTCTCTTCTCGCTAACTAGCACACTGCTACCGAACATGGCGTTTGAAAACTTTTCAAATTGACGAGTAACCCAGTGGGAGGCTTTCGTTTCATTTCCTTTTCCGGTTACGTCGTTAATTATTTTTATTGTTGCTGTCCTGTTTAAAGTGGAACGGCAGAGACATTTGGCGCGTGTGGACCAGCTGAAATATCGCGAGAAAGTGACGCCGGTGTTTTCTTTGAAATGTCTTATATTGCCAGTTTCGTAAATGTGATTTATCCATTGTAATCTTCCATCAGACTACGCGACGCTACAACCCAGAAGACAGCCATCTTCTGACTCAACGCCGTGATAACTTCAAATGCTACAGGATGATGGATGTTTATTTATTTAGAAAGTTATTTTACTTAGCTGTGAGGCGATTACAGATAACAGTGTTCATTATTAACATAGTTTTAATTGTTAGATTGGTTAACGCGCCTGGAATGTTTCGAGTTACTTCGGAGACGTCTTTCCCACTGATCATAATTTCGTGGGTTCAATTTGTGGATGCGACTGCCATGTGTCCAGTGCTTCTGTCATGCTGTTGACCGTGTAATTAATTTGTTCTGAAAGGAACTGCGTAAAGTAGAATTCGACGCGTGATTATTTAGTGTTACCTGCCTACCAGCAGGATGTTGGATTCTACATGTGCCATATGTCATCCACCTTTCCACAAACTTTCTCTGTTGTTTGTTTGGAGTATCTGCTGCCCACTTGTGTGTTTTAGAATTATGAGCAATGAATGTACTTGAGGTTTCCATAATGGCGTTTTGTGCAGAGGTGGTCGCACGGTCTATGGCGAGCACTGCTAATGTTGGGGCTGCGTATTCGAACCCCGCTTGGGACTTGGGAGTCTTTTTTCATATTTTTATGCAGTGAACCGGCCGTAGCGTGAAGTTGATATTTTACCTCCGTCTATAGAAAATAATGATAATGGCGAATGTTTATCAAGTGGCGTGAATGTTTCTCACGATAGTTTATGACAACAGTGGAGGTGCTCAGTGGTATTATTAATGGTTTGGTTATTTATTGTCGTTGTTTGAACTACGTAATATCGAATGACTTGGGGATATATCATTAATGGCGAGTGGTTAAGGAATGTCGCGCGTGTGTGAAGACTCTTCTAGTATTCACATAGAAAGTCACAGAAAATGCTTTTATACGCAGTTATGAGGGGTGTAAAGGAAAAGACATCTTATTTGTTTCTTAGCTGCATTACGTTGTATAATTAGTTGTTCAGTTGGAAGAACACTTCTTGATGATAAACGTATTTCTTCATATATATTAATGCTGTTCTCGAATGAAGATTCTAAAGGCATTGGTTAGCCAAATTTTGCTGAGTCCTCTCTCTTTTTAAACATCCCGTGGGATTCAGGTTGTCATCCGTCTTGCCTGCTGCACTTCAAGGCAGAAATTAAATGGCAGATAACTGAAGTGTGAACCATTTTACTGGTAGTTTGTACTTTTGTTAGAGTTTTTACGACCTTACTGCTAAAACACGTAAGCCATTACGTGTCTCATTGTGACGTAGTCGTAGTGAAAATGTCAGCCAGATAACGGACGAAGATTATCGAACGCTGTCTGGCTGTAGCAGATGTCTGTTCAAAGTAATGATATTGACTGTTTGCTTTCACTTTACGACCCTGCGGGTTTTGTTGATACGCGGCTTTTGTACAGGGCGCACGATGTGAACACACTTAGGCCTAGGCGGAACGGATGTCTACTAAATTTGGTATTGCGGTTTAAGACCAAAAGTTATCGTGCCAGTTTAAATTTGGTTAGTATCCGTCCAATATAATAGGAACTCTACATGAGCCCAGTCTGTTTTTGAAATGGCTCGTACAAAAGACTAATGTGTGGCATTAAATACATATCACAGTAACCTGCAAGTTTTCTGTGAATAATCAGTAAAAGGTTATGATAAACTTTTTTCCAGTCCTTTCTTATTCCATTAATAACTAAATTACGAATTGAAATCTGAAGGTTCCTGACAATGGTGCTTTATTTGTCAAATAGTTCTTTTGGACTTCGTCCGTCGTCTGAATTATAAAATCATAAAACTACGACGTTTCAGAAGCTGCTTCAGATACGAAATGGGGTAAAAGGACAGAAGACGTACTTGTGTCCTCTGGTTGAGCCTAGGCTCAAACCTGAACTCAGGATAGAAAAATGTTGTAATTTAAACAATGGACAAAGTCCTTAAGGACGATTTTACGTAAATTAGTGGGGGGGGGGGTTCCCCCCTCCAGAAAACTGTTTTTGCGCACTACAGTAATAATTAGCAAATAATAGTAATAACCATGATAAAAGTTGTCCGTCGTCAGACATACGGAAGTACGTTTTGTGTGGTAAATGCAGATATATGTATATATTGTACGCGTGGCTCAGAGCTTCTCCAGTGCCGGTCCATTTACCAGAATTGGAAGCTCACTGCTGAGGAGGAACTGTTTTGAAGAATGTGCACTTTGGTACACGGCATGGCAGTCGCATAGGACTGTATTTCATTTATTAAATATTTTATCAGATAGGAAAGTTCAGGGGAAATAACTGGATATGTTCAGGTTTTATATGGATTTGCTAGAGACGCTTCTTCGGAGGAAAAATAAGCTTATGGAAATGTAGTTTCAAGAGGAAGAGAGAAATATTAAAAAAGAAAAAGATATCTGGAGCGTACATTTCACTTATCCCTGGAGCGCGTGATAAATGTTGGTGGCTTGATTTCATTACATCCCACCCCACGACCTGAGTCTTCGATTTATGAAGGGCACAGCGGGGTGGTGGCTGCTGCCTTTGGTTACGTGGCACGAGGCGAAGATAATCACCTTCTTGCTGGCTGCTGGTTGGCCGACGTGTCGACAGGTGGTATCTGTTTCTGCCTTGCCTGAGCGTATGAACTACCAGTCTGGGTGAGATTTCAGGTTCTCATTGGTGGCGATCGCCCTGATGCTGGAGGCTGGAAGCACCTCTGAAACGTCGGTAAACTTCTTTCAGACAACACGGCGCAACATCTCAGAGGACGGCCATCTTCGTATCTCGCGCCTTGGGAACCTGAAATCTCATTGTCACGAAAGCCTGGACACGGCTGTGTGTTCGTCTCTCTTCTGTCGTGAGTGGATGTG